AAAAACAAAGGGAAGCAACATTTCATCTGCTTCAAAATGGAGTAGTTTTTGCTGTTAAAACTATCTGAATCTCGTCTGTTGTTGCCCCCTCTTCTGCTACTGACTTGGTTAGTCGAAAAGATGCCTATTTCTGTCTTGAGCGTAAGAATGCTAACGTCTCCTTTAGTTATGACAAGCTTCTAGCTAGATTTGGTGCCTATAACAAGTCTGTTGAAAAGTCCAAGTTCGAAGCTACCATGAATGCGTACAAGCTGGGCTACTTGGACAGCTCAAATGGAAATGATCCCTTCTATGCCATTGGAGATGGAGACATCGAGATGCTCTGTTCTGACTTGCTCCCTGTGCAAAGTGAGCATGTTAATGCTACGAATATGGAAGGAGCTGAAGAGCAGGCGGCCAAAGAGGCGATAGCTGAAGATGATGAAGCAGAGGAGAATGCAGCAGATGAGGTAGTGCCAGACGTCGCGAATTAGGCAGGTAAAGCTACTGAGAACGTGGCTGATCAGGTGGACGCCAAAGAGGCTGTAGATCAGGGATCTCCTGCTGGCATCTCGGAGTAGATGAATACTCTTTTATTTCTTTTCAGCTGTTATAGTCTGTTTTCTTATTTAGAATAATTGGTCTTATCTGACCATCTTCTTTTTGTTGAACTTGGCCGGTTGGTCAGCTTGCTATGGAGATTTAATTATTTTTTCAACTTCAATTTGCATATCGACTTGTGAACGACTTGTGAACTGCTTGAGTAACCAACCACGTTCTATTATTAAATGTCGACAATGTCATTGGCCAAAATGGAAAGAGGCAAGTCCATTACAGGTGAGAATGAACGTGAAAGAACAAACCCATAGTACGAACCCCAAAAGATGTTAATCCTGAAAGTTATACTTGGGTGTTCAGAATAAAAGGGAATATACCCGATTTGTATGACACAATTTTTCTGGTAGAAACAAGGAATGTTGGGTTTCTCCATGTTTACAGATGCAATCGTGCCTTCTTATTGCACATTTATGGAGACCAACATTTTATCTTTAAGGATTATTAAATGCACGGAGCATATCGCCAGAAACAATTCCCTAAAGATGTACAAGCATAACAAATAACTGGATATAAAGCTATATAATGTGTCATGAAGTGTAATCCCCTAAACAAAATCCCTGAATGATTGAAATTGCATGAAGCAAGTCTCTAAAGGATATGTGTCTGAAGCACAAATTTTGTACTCAATACTAATATGTATAAATTGCCTTAGTGAGTACATTAATTATGATATGGTTGCAACGCATTACAACTCCTGAAGAGTTGATAATTGATTAAAACTCTTGAAGAGTTTAAAAAAATATTTGTCTCGGCCTGAAGATCGAGCATTATGCCAACAAGATTCTTACTTATACTAAGAAAGTATTGAAGCATTTTTATGTAGGTTACCTATTGGACACTTAAATGATTTTGCGGAAGTATACTGGATCGGACATTGTATTTTCCAAATAGAGCTCAGCTCCATCACCACCACTTTGGGATGATGTGAGGCATATTTAATGTTATCTCCGCATAACACAATATACTGGCATATTCTTTTCAAGTGAATGTACAAATAGCCCATATTTTGTTGGACATGCAGACTCTAGAAATTTCTATGATTTACGTAGAGATAGCTCACTAGAAATTTCTATGATTTACATAGAGATAGCTCACTGGAAATATATTTACATCCTCCACTCACTCCTTAAGATTTTCCCTCCAGAAAGATAGTCATGAAGATATCAGGGGAAGATATTCATCAGGGGGAGCATCATTTGTTTTCTACCTCACTGGGTTTTCTTCAAGCAAGATTTTAATGAAGCAATCGACATATCATTTGTGGTATCCAAGGGAGAGTGTTGTAAAGTCAAGAATGGAGCCCAAAATGGTAGAGCCCACTACCTAATTGATTGAAGAATAATGATGAAGCTTGTCTGCCATCATTCCTTGAGAGCCAACCACACATCCACGGGAAGCTATCAACTTTGCCTATAAAAAAGGCTTCATCTTCCCTTGCGTGACACACACCATCTGAGAAGAAATGAGAGCCCAGGCAGAGAGGAAAGAAAGAAAGAAGAGAAGGAAGAAAGAGGGTGAGTGAGTGGAGAGAACAAGAGAGCAGAGAGAAATTCTCCAAGAGAGAAAAATCAATGAGCCACATATATTGTAAACACTAAAGTTGTAGCCCTATTATTTTACGTAGTGGAAAAGTTACTGCAGCTACTTTCCGAGGACGTAGGCATGGCCGAACCTCGTTAAATGTTGTGTCTCATCTACTTTACGTGCAACTCAATATTCTAGCATATCCCGTTTATTTTACAACAAATATCTATTTTTTCAGTTTTTTTCTAACAACTCTCAAGTTCTCAAATTTTTAAGATTTGAAAACAGTTTTCAAGTTGCATACAAAACAAGTTTTTGAATCTTAAAAATAGATTTAAGAACTCCTTGTTTTTAAGAAAAATCAAAGTTTTTTAGTTCCCTATTTGAATAGGATACCAAACGCCCCCTTAGCATCCTTACTTGCCTAGGAAACTACTAAAGCATAACAGGAAAATTCTCAAGGAAAAATTGTTGCTTCCATGTCACTTTTTTTCCTTACAAAACATGGGTGAAGTTGTGGAAAAATGCAAACCAAAAAGAAAACATGAGAATCAAAATAATAACAAGTTCCAAATTAAAAGAAACACATTTTTGTTTCGTCCTATGACAAAATTATTGCTAATTGCTCAAAATGAGAAGCAAAAATATTCTAATAAAGACGTTCCATTGCAAAAATATTCCAGTTATAATTTGTAGGGGGACTTTTTCTTCTGGCAGTTACAAATGGGCTGGGCCGCCATAAGGAGCGAACTGATGAAATTATCCCCCTATGTCTGAGTTCGAAGATCAAGCCCCAAGAATGTCTCGAAAGGGTAGTGAAGCCTTAGGAAACTCCTTGGTTACCTTCACCAACGAAAATAACAACAACTTACAGAGAAAGAGCTGTGAGTTCCTATGAGAGACAGGGGTTCTAAGGGAAAGAGGAAGGGATTCTAAGAAGGTTTGATGAAGAGGGAGAAAGATGGGGAAGAATGATGGGTGGCTTAAGTAATTTCCAGCAGCTTGACAGAGGCTCTATTTAAATGCTATAACAGCCTGCCAGAAAGGGGGAAAATGAGGGAGAAGGGTGACTAGAGCACGAATTTGCTGAGTTTTGCAGGTGAGAGAGGAAGCTTGCCCTCTAGATGTGGATGATGTTTGCTCGGTTGAAGAGGCCTCATTTTATAGTCGCTGGAAGCTGTCCTTTCCCAAGAAACCCTAATGGTTCCTATCCAATTTTGGCCAAGCTTTTTCCCTCCTTTCTCCTCCTATCTTATTCTGGCAAAATCTTCTCTGCTCAATCCCACAAAATCAGGGATTTTTTGGGAGCTCAATGCTCTTCTCGCGGCTTCCACAGTGGAGAACTTCTTATTTCCAACCATTTCCTTTGCCCCTTTGTTTCCTTCTTCCATAGCTAGATCTAATAAGGGAGAGAAATGGGTATGCATGCTGGTTCAAAGGGTGGTTCCTCTCTTGGCAGTCTGCGCGCCAACATCCCTTGGTCCTTTGGATGTTTTTGCTGGAAACTTGTTCCTTCCCATGTGCTGAAGCCTCCTAGCAGCTCTGCGCATGTGGTCCTCCAAGCTCCCTTAGTGGCTTTTGTTCTTTAGCCAAGTGCTGGGGCTTTTGCAGATCTTTATTTTAGTTATTTGGGCCTTCCAAGACAATAAGTTGGTTTATCAAATAAATGGGCCAACTTCACCTAGTGTTGGGCTATTTTGTTGAGGTGAGGGGCTGATTTTTCTAGGATATTGGGCTATTTTCTTTCTCTCTTGTGCTTAACCACGTTTGGGCCTAAAAAATGGGCTTGAGTCCCGTGGCTCCCAAGCAACCCGAGACCTCCATTTCTCGGCCCATCAATGGGCCTCATGACAACTTATTACCATCCATACCACAACCCACTCAAGCAAGCCCCGGGCATTTGAGTGGCTTGGGCCCACTTACGCTTGTAGTGTGTTTGGGTGTGAAATAATAATTTCCCGCTTAGCATGACATGTCGCTTGGCATGCTTCAATTTTATCGTCCTTGAAGAGGGACACGATGTTTAATTAGCGTGGGCTTGTCAAGCCGATGTATTTTATTACCTTATCTTAGCATGACAAATTATTTACTTGGCATGGCACGTGAACTGTGGCTTGCGTATGGCGGGCTTTTGTGTGCTCCAAATTGGGTCTTTTCTTAATATGGTGTCGTATTGGGCCGGGAATTTATTTGGGCTCAACCCTGGATTTTTTGGGCCTCAACATAATTCAACTATTTTTTAAAAAAAATAAATTTTTTTGTTAGGTGATTGCTTAAATGTAACCAAGATTTTTTCAAAACCTCTTTTGTCAAATATTTCTATCTAATGATACAAAGGTTCTTTGTTCTCGATACATTCTTAACAAATTACAACTCTTGAAAATTAATCGTAGAATAACTAACTGGACTCACCCAAAATCATTTGCATTCATACAATGGCCAATTTATTATTTTTACATTCAACATGTTAGCTTTTTTATATAATTTTTTTTAAGAACCTTTAAAAGGCCATACAAACCTTCACGGAAAAACCCATCACACCCAAAATTTCCTTTCGCCATTATGTAATTGTTGGGCTAAAGGGTTTTATAGGAGTCCCATTCTTTGAGAACCCAGTAAGGTCACACAGTCGGCACATCGTGGTTGTCTGCGACGAGTCTAGAATATCCTTGACCATCTTCTGCGCTTGTCTGTGGACGAGTCTAGAATATCCTTGACCATCTTCTGCGCCGTGTGAAGGCCATCGGTGGAGACCTGGATGGTGGACTGAATGGTATTTTACCATTCCGAATTGTAATTTTGGATGGCGAATTAATTCAATTCACAAAATAATTCAGGAGCTCATGACAAAGACAAAGGTGAAATGACATTCAGCAGTATTGTACAGATCAGAAAGCTACATTCATAACAATAACTGTGCTATCTTATTTACAGTGCAAGATTTGCAGATTACAAGAGCAATAATCCAACAATGTATTTCACAATGGGGGAGAGATGAGCAATAATCAATTGCCCCAAACCAAGTGAAAAATATTTTTACTAGCACCTGCATTGACAACATTGTTGCTCTGTGTTCTAAGCATCTCCTCTTGTGCAGCCACGTCACCCTCCTATTTAAATAAAATTATTAAATTTGAACGAATACAACGAAGAGGGAAAAAAAACCCAGCATACAGCATAAATGAATTAAACAAATATAAAGGAAATGATAGAAGAAGATTAGATTGTGAAATAAATAGATCAATGAAATTAGGTAAACTCTTTAAGAAAAGAAAAAAAAAACCACTATTGAAGTCATATGACATTTATGACTTCAATAGAAAAGCTTAAGGATGATCTTCACCAAACTAGTCTACCAATTATAATTTCAAACACTAGACAAAACATAATGGACTGTATAAGTTTCTATGTGATTTCAAAATTCTCCAAACAAATCATTTTATCTTTAACCACTTTCAAGAGAACATCTTCTTTAGAATCATCAGTGCAAGGATTTCCTTTATTAAATGATATGCAATACAACCTCTGTGTGGCACTCAACAAGATTGAACAATAAAAACAGGCAATTCTATTTGCATCCCCATTTCATCACTCCACAAATTTCATAATTCCCATTTTGTCCTTTTCCACCCTTTCCCTCCTTCCCCTATGGCCATGACACTGCCAGTGCTGATTTGATTATTTTTAAGTTTAAAAGGAATAATAAAATATTGAAAATTAATGAAGGTGAAATGGAAAACTTCTCGGAAATGTTTCATGCAGGGAGAGGTGATGCGCGGAAAAAGCGTTGCAAATAAAATCACCCTATGTGGCACACTTCGGTGAAACAGATGGTAACTATCGCATTTCAAATTCCAAGGGAGTGAGTACTTACAAGTAGAGAGTAGGCACGGGCAAGAGATAAAAGCGTCGGGTACAAATCCAGAACAGCTAAGGCAACTTCCTCAGTTACCTGGGGGACCTGCATTCAAAATCCAAGATGCATGTCTTGCTCACCACTTCATCACTACAAATATCCTACTTCTAGACCAAGTGAGAACCAAACTGTGTCATAAATGTTGATTCAAACAGCTATGGAGTAATTTACCCAGTTCTTCATCAAAGGGCATACACGATATTTTTAATGGAGTGTTTATGCTAAAAAAAGTACAAGCAGAAGGGTGCAGTGCACCAGGGACAAGAAAACATCCAGAAGAATCCAAGACAGGAGAATTTTTTACATAACTTGATAAAAATGCATCTCTTACTTTGATTTTTTCTACATATAAATCTAAAAAGGAAATAATGTAGGAACACAGAATTTAATGTTTTCCATTGTTTTTATACATGAATGAATCCATAGTCTGTTATATTAAGGGATCAGAGCCAACATCTGTCAAATAAGGGAATGATATTCCTTTCTGTCAGAAACAGTAAATACCTGCATGAGCTGAATGGCAAATACATCGCTGACTGTCATTTTATCCAGTTCTTCACACCTTTTGATAAATTCATCAAAAGGGGGGCAAATCCCGGCATGTCTATGTTGTTCCTCAGAATACTCTGATTTGTAGTATTGAGTTATTGCTTGAGTAAGATAAACATACTTCTTCAGTGTATCAGCCAAGCCAATGGTTCTCTGAACATCAAATCCCTCCAAAATTTCAGTTGTGAAACAGCTGCACAAGATGACAATTATAACTGATGAAGCGAAATACTAATAGTTACCTTTTGCAATCATTAGGACATCTATAAAAGGATTATTATATGATCCTAAGTGCAGCTCATGATTGAAAAACAAAAAACAATTATATCTTGCTTAAATCTTTAGTTTTTCATAACAAGATACCTTTTAACCAAAGCCAGAGGTTTACTTTCCTAGTTTAAACATGATGACTCACACTAAATGAATATCTATAGTCATGCAGCAGGAAATGGAGCAATTAAGAATATTACAGAAATGCTTACGCTGTTTTAATGCTTTCTGCAGCTTCAGAACAATTTGGATCGCCTTCCAGAAGATATATCAGTTTCTTAAGTCCACACCTCTAACATATGCAATAGAAAGACCAAACATATCAGAATAACGTAAAAATAATATAATTTCACAGTAAATCCAACATTACATGAAAGTTAAACCATCAAATGCATGTAAAACACACATTAGAAGTAAACAAATTTCTCTAGTAAATATTGTAGCCAAAAGAGCCCAACATAAATAGACAAAAGAAAATAAATAATAAACAAAGACAAACCAATCATTGTTGTAGTCATGACTAATAGTCATTCACAACACTTGAATGTAGTGCATCATAGTATCCTTGCCCAAACATAAAGTCAGGATGATATTCTATCTTCATTCAAGTACTGTTGTCCACATGCAGACAAAAATCTGATGTCATCAACATGCATGCATGTTTTCTCCACACATAATTTTGATTCATCTACTTTCAATAAGCAAACAAATGTTTATCTTCAATACCTACCAGTCAGTCTACATAGACTGGGAAAATAAGAGTTTAGATGGTCATCAAGAATACCAGAAGTGCATCTGGCCAAAAACAAACAGGCACCAAGGTATTTGCCTAGGGACATGTATACACTATACAGTATATATATTGTTACCTTTCAAGTTCATCATCCTTGACATGAGCACAGAAAAATGTTACAAATCCTCAATGGGAATATGTATTCAGTCTTTCTTCTAAAAACAAATTCTGCTTTCAGCCTTCTATTTTGATATTCTCTCCTTTTCATTTTCTAACTAAAGTTGGTTATTTAACATTTTCCAACTAAGATGCAGTAAATGCAAATAGATATTAAAAGGTGAAGGTAAAGTGCAAGAAACCCAAGTTGTGCAGTACTAAGATGTAAAAAAACAGCTTAGTTATGCTGCAACATCTGTAAAACAACATGCATGCAATATATAAACTTCACACATCAAATAAAGACAAAACCTTGAGTCTTTTCATTAAGAGCCAGTACCAGAAGTCTCAGTTTCTGATCCCTGTAACGGTTGTCTCTGATTGAACAACGTAAATCATCAACTTTCTTCCTCTCAACAATAAAATCAAGTACATATTCGTTCTCAAGATGTTTATGACGAGCTATCCAGATTCCATCTCCAACTGGTAACCTCCTAACCTGTAGAAGAGTCAATTTGTTAACTCCAACAAGTGGAAAGAAGATTTGTAACAAGAACAAAGACAAGAAAGTTTAGTAAGCCACAATTGTTTACATTGTGAAACAACAACTGGAAAATTCACTGTTCTAAAAAATCTCAAAAATCATCTTACGATGCCATGTGGATTAACAATCAACAATATGAGATTTGAAGTAAAAAACACACATGAGGAAAACTAAAACAAACCAAAATATTTTTAACAACAAGAATGAAGGTTCCAGAGCCAAATACTTGCAAGTTCTCAAAGTTATAACTGAAAACTAGCCAATTTGAGTTCGGGTTTTAACAATGAAGTATGACTTTGTCATCATAAGTAGCAAGAGACCAATGTTAAAGTCAATAAAAAATGTGGATTTTTTTTTTTTTGAATAGAAACGTTGTATTGATAATCAAGAGGAAAAAACCTCGATTAAACAATGAAAAGGGAAACTCCAGAACAACTAAAGACAATCTAGCCAGCTATGACTGAAGATAAAACTATAGGAATAAAACAAGACTTTAGGTAACATTATCTTAAGACAGCAGCCATGTCTCTCAAGATGATAGAGTAATGATAATCCTTGAACTGCCTAGAACCCGATGCCCAAAGAGAAGCCCAGAATTTAACTCTATCCCATAACTCCTCAGCCCTTACTCCTAAGTGACCCTGAAAGATTCTTCGATTGCGCTCCATCCAAATGTTCCAGAATATAGCGTGAACAAGACAGTCACGCAGGATCCCAGCTCTCTTTCCCTTCCCCAAAACCACGAACTTGATACTAAGGAACTCAAGACACCCCTTAGGAGTCACCCACTCCGCTCCAAGAACCTCCAACATCCTCCACCATAATTTTAGGGAGTACGAACAATGAATGAACAGGTGATCTATGTTTTCTTCATTCATTTTACAAAGAACACACCAAGAAGGGGATAAACACTTCTTTGGATGTCTCCTTTGAATGATGTCGCAAGTATTAACCTTACCATTTGCTGCCAGCCACAAAAAGAATTGAATTTTCGGAGGTGTCTTTGCCTTCCAGATTGAGAGGAAGGGGGGAAAGACATCCCTGGAAGTAGAGAGAAGAAAAGATCTGAAAGACTTGCACGAAAACAAACCCTGCTCCTCAATCTCCCAAGATCTCCGATCCAATCTAGAGCTACTTAATCTCACCTTTCCCAAAATATCCAAAAGTATTACCACTTCTGCAATTTCAGCCTCGGACAAGTTTCTTCTGAAATCAAAGTCCCAATTAAGAGGTAGTTCTTGAGTGTTCACAAAACGGGATATGCTATGATTTGTTTTCCTAGACAAGGAAAAGAGTCTAGGAAACAAATTTTTCAGTATCCCTTCTTTCAACCAAAAGTCCTCCCAGAATCTGATTTTCTCTCCATTTCCAACAGAAAATCTGCAGCAAAGAAGGAAAGAATTATACCCTTTTGAAATTTCTCGCCAAGGATTCCTACATGACACATTAGCTAACTTTTTAGTATCCCACCCGTTGGAGTCGATTCCGTACTTGCTCTTAATGATCCTATGCCATAAGGAATTGGATTCCAGTGGAAATCTC